TTTTTTGTTAGTTTTAAAAAATATATTTTACACCAGTTCCTTAGAAGACTCCTGTGTGGTCTGCACTAGCAAAAATTTTCCTTCCTCTGTCTATAGGCAAAACTCCGTAAAACAAAAGTGTAAATCCCTTTTTGCTAAAATATAATCTGTTAATTGTGTTTAGTTACTGCTCAAACTTTCCCGTCTCCCTCGGGTAATATCCTTCATTATTGGGAAGAGGAATTTCCTTAACACCTATTTCAGTTGCATAATTTACTGAGATTATTGTCATTATGACGATACTTTAGACTTGTTTATAATTCTAGCCTACATTCTTCTTCATACCTTAAATAAAAATAATGCCTCTCTCTTTGTGAAAGTTTGTCAAATGACTGTGTAGCATTATTTCTTTGCTACAAAGAAAGTGGAGAGTGATAAATGAAAACACCCCCTCGCTACGCTCTTGATTTAACTGCTTATTAAAATAGTCTCATGCTGAACTTGTACTTCAATCTTAGAAAACTGGAAAAATGCTAATAAATTTGGCTTAACTGGGCCAAGTCCATGTTTTATTTAAGTTTGACTCCTGAGCACCGACTTACTCATTAAGAACAAGTGCTTGTTGAATTGAATTAAGCAGCCAAACAGCAGACAAATGAAAATTGTGGTTAATAAGATGGGCCCAACTGAAATACCGTTTTGTGTTGAGAAGCTTTTTTAATCACCTTGGTTTTTTTTCCTAGCACAATATAATCATTTATTAAAATGATTGAATATTTTCCATATTGGGAAAATAATAGTTTTGTATTATGTTGCTTTCTGCCTAGGAATATAATAGGTACCTTATCAAATTCATTGAAATTGTCATGAGAATTGATACCTGAGAGTGGCTGTGGGAACACATTTAAATTAAAAAATCTGCAAGGGTTCACAGCCAGATATTGCTACGTGCCCACTATTGTTTGGGAATAATGCAGTTTCAATTTATAGAATTATATCATGTATTTTAGAGCTGGAAAGAAGCTTGACAGGTCTTCTGTGGAAACTAAAGAGGAATGAACAGCAATAAGATGCTCATCCAAAATTGAGTAATGATGTAGAACATGTTGATGATTGTTATCGGAGGAAAAAGATGAAAGTACAAGATGTTGCACATTAAGCACATTACTAATTATACATTTATTTAACAATCCTAGGCTTATTAACAAAATACTGTGTAGTATATGTAACTTATTTTTTTCTCATGATCAAATGCCTGAATTTTGAGAAATTTCAGCATGCTTTGGTGAGAGAGTAGAAATTTCATTTCCAAAATAATTAGGCACTGATGGATTTTGACCCAAGGATATATATTACTGACCAAAATTCAGCTATTTAGTCTGAAAAACCAAAAGAAAGAACTCTGCTGCTAATGAAATGAATACACAAAGTAGAGGGAGGGAAGAATCAGCCCTGAACATTTTCTTAACTTCAGTTTAAGTACTGGAGAAATTTCAATATCATTATTCCCAGAAGCCATTCATTTAGAAATGGCAATTAGAGGATAACAGATAAAACCAGTGTTAGGAGGTGTCCATCAAGAAACAAAATGGTTACATGCTTTATCTACCCACTCTCACTCTCATGGCGAGGGCTTTTCATTATACTTGTTGCTCTGAAACTGACTGTGCTGTAATTATCACAGCAAAGGAAAGTTTCACATAATGACTTCTTAGTGAAAAAGATGCTTAGCTTCCAGGTGTGTGCTTCTTGAACAGCATACCATGAGATCTTTTGAAGTCATTTCTTGAGTTATTTTCTTTGGGGTACTGTTACATGAGATTCTCTAGAAAAGGATACATGATTAGAAATATTGAAAAAGGCAGAATATTTTATCCCCTTGTAACTTGCATTTTTTAAAAATATTAAAACCCAGAAAATTCCTAGAGGAAAAAGCAAAACACTGAAAACAAATCAAGAATGCTGCTATAACTCAATTAATTCAAATTGGTAGCAGCATTCACTTTTCTGTATTTTCACTGAGGCAATTGTTTTGTTTTATCCTTTTCACTCTCTCATCTTTATTTTTCCTTTCAGTAGACTTCATATTGGAAATAAAGAGAAAAATGTCATTTAGTACTGTAGAAGCTATTTACTCAGTGTAAATAATTACAATAGAGACTGGTAAATGTTCAATGATAATAAGACACATTAGCTTAGTTTCTCTTGGTAGCAAATAACAACAACAACAAAAAAAGCAAATTAAAGTTGGATATGTGAAACCCAAGGGAAGAAATACAACCAGAGTTATAAAAGATCTAAAAAGTAACCATATCCATTTTAATAACACAATCATGGAGCCACTTTGAACAAAGGATGTTTTCCTAAGCAAAAATTCAGAATCTAGTCTAGAGATTCGAAACAAACTCTCTTGGTAGTAGAATGAATACATATTTAAATAAATATGAAATATATAGTCAAAATTTAAATATGTATGTGTAAGCGTGTATACATAGGTGTATATATGTAAAAATATTTAGAATTATTGGAAGAAATAGTTCTAATGCAAGTATTATGGTTTGTATCTAAAAGTGTCCACATAGAGCTCATGTTAGTCAATATACCAATGTTCAGAGGTGAAGTGAGTAGATTATAAGAGTTGTAACCTCATCAATGGATTGACCCATTTGGTGAATTTATAATTTGAATGGACTACTCGGTAATAAGTGTAGGCAAGTAGGGAGTGGCTGGAGGAAGTTGGTCACTGGGGGTGTGGCCTGGTCAGTTTCTATTCCTGTATCCTTGCTCTTTCTCTTTCTGCTTCCTGGTTGCCATGGGCTAAGCAGCTTTCCTCTACCATGCCTTTGCACAATGATGTTCTGACTCACTTCAGGCCCAGAGCAATGGAATCAGATAACTATGAACCAAGACTTCTGAAATCAAGAGCCCAAATACATTTTCTTCTTGCTTGTTCCTGTCGGGAGTATTGGTCACAGTGACGGGAAAGATGACTAATACATCAAGAAAACAGAATAACTAAAAGTAGCTGTTTTGTAACAACTGCAGTAAGTATGCCAGGCACTGGTCACCACAGGGATTCATTTTGGCTTCTACCAAGAAACCAAAGACTCATTTCCTGTTATCACTGTGTCACAGAGTGAGCTTATTAAAATCTTTTACCATTTTCCAGAGCCCTCATCTTGCTATCCAGAGTCAACAAAGGTTAACATTTACATATTTTAGTAAACTAAAAGTTTTGAAGCAAAGTTGAAGATCCCTTTATTTTAATACATGCCCATTCCCATTTCCTTTACTTCTTCCCCAGAGCCACCATGTTTTTATATTTGTACTGTGTACAGACACCAGGACTTCAGCCACCCTCCCATCCCATATGCCAACATTATTAATAAGTGAAGACTAATTTTGTATTTTATAGAGGATCATGGAATACCTTTCTTTTCTACCCATGAAGATTCTGAGCTGCTTATGGATGAGACGTGGGTGAGTGGATGGACACCTGGTTACCTGGGAATCTACTCCCATTCTCAAAAGATGGGAGTTTTACACACACACACACACACACACACACACACACACACACACACACACAGGCCTGGCCTGGTGACCCACCTCCAGGAACACCCCTTGGCTTCCCAAGTAGTATGGTGTGGACACAGCCCAGTTCAGCTGTCCTCGTGACTCTTGCCACTTGGGAAAAAACAGAAGTAGAAGTACTTCTATTTGAGGGCAACATGTATACCTCTCACTGGTGACCATAGGAAGTCATCTTGTGTCTATGGGAAAGCCAGGCTAAGGCTTAGTCCATTTATCACTGTAGTGTACTGTGAGCTGGTTAAAGAAGTACTCTGACATGCCACCTCTCAGAGCTCTCATATTGTCACCTAGATTCAACAAATGTTAAAGATTTGCATATTCTAGTAAACTAAAAATTTTCAGATAAAATTCAACATTCCTTTAATACCTGTTCAATCCTGTTTCTTTAACTTCTTCCCTAGGGGCACCATGTTCTTATAATTTTTATCCAGCAGTGAATAGCCACTAAGACCTCACCTACATCCTCCCACACAGTCCTATAGCTTTTGCACACACTGTTTAGAAGTGTAGACCAATTTTGTGTTTTCCAGGGGCCCAAGGAATACCTTTTCCTTCTACCAGTGGAGATTCTGAGCTGCCTTTAGATGGGGCATCAATAGGCAGACAGAATTCTGGATACACAGAGATCTGCCCTCATTCTCAAAAAAACTCTCATTTTATACACATACATAAGCATTAACTACACACTTTTATTCCCTTAAGAACCAAATAAATACCTTTATTGGAAGTAACAATCAAACTGAAAGGCCCATGCTAAAGTGAATGTGCTGAAAGGGCAATGTGTAGGCCCTGCCTGGTGACCCACCCCAAGGAAGACCTGCTGCATGGGCTGGGGCACAGTCCTGCTCAGCTGTCCTTGTGGCTGCTGCCCAGGATGAGTCTGTCAAAGAGGAACTTGGCCAGTGGGTCCTCCATTGAAACTGGAGTTTTAAGATAAGATTAGATTCCCTGCTTCCACAATTTCTTCTGGGTTCTTGTCCCTCAAACTTTGAGGGATAAAATCCACAGACAATCACACAAGGGAAGAGTAAAGGCAGTAGGACTTACTTAAGCAAAAAGATACAACTCCTGAAATACGGGAGGATAGTAGAAAAATCTGTTTGGTATATAGTTTAGGGGTTTATATACAGTTCTGGGTAAAGCATGGAACAAAATCTATGTAAAACAAGCATTGAAACCAGCATCAAGCCAGGCGTAGTGGTGTACCTGTAATCCCAGCAGCTCCAGAGGCTGGGGCAGGTGGATCACAAGTTCAAAGCCAGCCTCAGCAACTGCCAGGCGCTAAGCAACTCAGTGAGACCCTGTCTCTAAATAAAATACAAAATAGGGCTGGGGATGTGGCTCAGTGGTCGAGTACCCCTGAATTCAATCCTCAGTACCACCACCCCCACTACCCCCCAAAAAACAGCATCAAGGCCTCTGCCTTCCTAAAACTTCACCCCACCTTCCCGTTTTCCCACCTTTGGGACAAAAGAGCTGGATAGAGGTGAGCCTCTCACCATCCTGCGCAGGTTGGTCAGGTAGCCGGCCAGCTCACGGATGATGAGGACCTGCTGGTGCAGATAGTGGCGCTGCAGGAACTGGCAGAGGTGGGGGTCGCCCCTCTCGGCGGCCAGGTGGTGCAGCTCCAGGAGGCCCTGGTTGAGGCTCTTCTCCAGGTGGAAGGCGCACTCCATGGCCTGGAGGCCGCTGTGCCAGGCGCTGCCCTCGGGCTGCTGGACGTCGTGGAGCCGGACGTGGCCTCCGCGCTGGTTCTGCAGCTCCATCAGCTTCTCGGCGCGGTCCCTCCACTCGTGCGACAGGCGCAGGAAGAAGCTGGCGAAGTGCTCCAGGGCCACTTGTGGGCGGTGGCAGAAGAAGGCCAAGGACAGGTAGACGTAGGAGGCGTGCAGTTGCACCTGGATCTGGCTGTTGACAGCGGCCTCGCAGTCGGGGTGGTAGTTGTGGCGCACCTGCGACACCATGATGGGCACCATGATGGGCACCATGACGGGCGCGGGCAGGAGGGGTGCCACCACGAAGGCGAGGGCGGAGCGGGCTCTGGGGCTGCGGAGAGCATTAAGGCCTCAGTGAGGGGGCCTTGGGGCGCCTGTAGGGTGGACAAGGGAGGGGCGACCCGCAGAGGGTGGACAAGGGAGGGGCGACCCGCAGAGGGCGGCTCTGCGCCTGTAAATTATCAGGAAGGTGGCAGCTGACAATGGCGGCCCCCAGGATGGGGGTGGAGTTGCAAGTGCTAACTGGGGCAGCTCTAGGCTGATTGTCTCACCTATATAATATTTTAGAAAGTTATTTATGAATTTAAGGGTAAGTTTTAGTATTAACCACCTGAATTGTTTCTTCAAAAGGCTCCTTTAAATATTGTCCAAATGTGCGGGGTATGGTGGTTCAAGCCTGTGATCCCAGAGGCTTAGGAGGCTGAGGCAGGAGGATTGCAAGTTTAGGGTTAGCCTCAGCAATTTAGCGAGGCTCTAAGCAACTCAGCAAAACCCTGTCTCAAAACAAAAGAAAACAAGAGCTGGGTGCTGGAGCTGTGGCTTATTGGTTAAGGGCCCCTGGGTTCAATCTCTGGTACCCCCCCCAAAATAAATATAGCCCAAATGTGATTGTTTCATTAAATGTAGTGCCTTTGTGATGTTCTTACTTATATTTACTATCATAAGCTTTATTTGAACGGCAGCTCTCCTCCGTGACTTCAGCGTCAGTACTCATGAAACTAATGAGGGAAAGGTCAGAAGCCCCAGAGTCAAGAACGAAGACCCTGGGTGGCTGACTTTCCCACCTATATAAAATCATTCAAGAATGTAAGTGCAAGGTTTGTGAGCTGGTCTCCTGGATGGTTTCCTTAAACAACTTATTTGAAAATTGTCTAAATGTGATTATTTCATTAAATGTAATGCTTTTATGATGTCAGCTCTCTTCAGTGAGGTAAATGTCTATACTAATGGCACTTTTTTTTTTATTTTAATATTTCTCAGCGGACACAACATCTTTGTTGGTATGTGGTGCTGAGGATCGAACCCGGGCCGCACGCATGCGAGGCGAGCACGCTACCGCTTGAGCCATATCCCCAGCCCTAATGGCACTTCTCAATACAGTCTTTACTCCTTTCCTAGAACTTAATAACTCCAGTGACCTCCATTTTTCTCCTTGCACTCATGATCAAGTTCACTCTTCTGTGACAGTATAGGTTCACCTCGAAAATCTCAGTGAATCTTCCCACCTTTTGGTCTTTCACTGTTTTGTTCTTTACTTCCTCTGTTCTCTCTGGAACTTACTAGCACAATCCTTGAAACACTTTTTGTCTTGTCTGGACGTCCGTCTGAAAGGACAGTCTCAATGGTCTCTTAATATCTCGGATCAACTCACTCCTTGTACCTAGATCATGAATTTCTTTCTTTCTTTTTTAATTTTGGTGGTGCTGGGGAATGAACACAGGGGGAGGCAAGCACTCTACAGACTGAGCTATATCCTCAGCCCCATGAATTTCCTCTAGTATAAATACACTTTCTCTTTTTCCTGATGGAAAATAAAAGGTTTAGGTGCATTCCTAGGGAAAGCACTGTTATCCATGTGGAGGTATTCCTGTCCTTCAACCTCCTCTTGACTTTCACTGTCACTCAGGTAGCCTTTTACAAAAAAAAAAAGA